TTTATAGAATGACTGTATTATGTATGATGGAACTTGTCTCCTGACCCTTTCTTACACTTGTCCTCACACACTAAATTTAATGTTCTCATACACCAACTCTACGTGTAGACCAAAAAAGATTATATGATTTTCTTTTGTAGTATTTTAAAATTGTATCATGTTACAAAAGATATTTTGTATATATGTAACTATATGCTATCTATATCAGAACTTTTTTGTTTGTTATAAGCAAGTATCGTATAGTTGTTTTATGTCCAGATACTATAAGAGTGAAATTAATGAAACAGCAACGAACATACAAAAGTTGACACTAAGCATAGTAGTATATCTAAAGCCGAGTTTATTAAACACATAACGTTAAACCAATCAGGTTGTGCGTTACCAATAATGTGGTTAGCGGTGGCGAGACATCAAAGGCTTTGAGTGAAATCTGGAATCAATAATCAATGGAGCTTAGCATTAACTTTGTGGTGCGTGGCCACTTTACCACCTGTGTCAAAATGACATCTTTGTATACTATGTTTATTAGGAATACATACACAGAAACAAGTCACTTTTAAAAATATCTATGATACTAACGTTTTAAAATAAGTGTTTTTTTCAATATCCATTTAACATATTATTGGGGATATTTTCCATCCCAAAAAGTAAAACATTTTTTTTCAAAATTACAAAGATCTACATAGTGTTGCTTTTGAGAGTGATCTTGATATAAGTGAGCTAATATATGATAAATCTTAGATGAACTGATTACAAGAAAATATTTTTTTTTACAAAGACTGTTATTATTATTTTAATTGTACGTTTTTTTTATTCATTGCAAATTAATTGGAAGAATTAACTGGTTGTAGTTTAAATAATTGAGACTTAATGCATTCATCTGCAAAGAAGGGGACTGGTTTTTCACTATACAATTTTGAAGTAACACAGATCATTGTTGCTATTTTTCTGGGTAAATTTATATCAAACAGCTATGAGCGAGTATACGAAATTTCAACATTCGGAGATTTTTCAAACAACAAATATAAACGACGACCTTTGATTTACAGGCCCAGTCCCTTACTTAAAGATGACTTCGTGGGTTTATTGTGATTAGATAATTTTAGAATATTTAGTTTGATTTTTTCAAGTGACTTTCCACCGTACTTTGCTATTTCTTTCCAATACTTTTCCTGTTCGTCTCAGAATTATCAAAGAAATCTCCCTAGGAATTTAAGTTATTTAATATCTTCATAGTGTTGTACTTAGCTATAAAAGCTTAAAAATTACCTTCCAACTTATCACTGCCAAAACTACATTTAGGCCTACGTCATTGATAAATCTACCTAATTGCTAAATTTTCAACGGGTTTTGTATATAAACATTTCAAATCTTGTCATCCAAAAAGTTTCTTTTTCTTTTTGATTTGAGCAGATGATTTGAAAAACTCCAAATAAATCGCAACTGTGTAAATCAGGATTTTTTAGAGCTTTATTTACAAACTATTTTAAAATAACATATTTTGTGAGATCAGCGTGTTAAAAAAAGAAAAAAGGTGGCCCGACTTTTATGGATGTCTAATAATCATTTATCATCAATTATTTAATTAGAGAGCCTTAAATACTATTACAAATTATAGTGTTTCAATGCTTTGTTGAATCTTTAATTTTGAATTCCAAACCCACCCAATACCGTCATCAAAGCAGAGTTTGCTACGAACAATAGGAAGGAGGAAAAGTCTTAGTCTACAGGGAATATAATAAAAAGCACTGTCATGTCCCATGAAGCCCTTTGTTGGGTCAATAAAAACTCTGTTTTGTGTAATTGAATAATGAATAATGAATAATGAATAATGAATTTTATTTCCTCAAAAACAAACAATCATCAAATCATAAAACAATTCGGAAATTAACTGGCCACTTTGTCCAGTAATTGTGGCCAGTGTACACAAAACTTATCTAATCTATACATGAAATGAAGAGTTCAGTCTTATCAATCCATTACTAAAATTATCACTCCTGCTGCTACCTGTAGCGTTACATATTGAAATTAAGTCTACTTCTAAAAATTAAAATATACATATCTGACTGCCTGAAATGTAAATAATGAACACAAAATATATAAAAAACGTACTACAATTTAACGATGTGAAAAACATAGATTTTATTCTAAAACATTACGAAGCAACGAAGTATCATTTATATTACATAACCATTCTTTCAACCTTTTACAAAAACTATTAACATTGTTACTTCTTTTTATATCAATTGGCAACATATTAAAAACAAAAGGCCCCAAAAATAGATACGAATGCTTGAACAGTTCTTTGTTGACTTTAGGGGTCCTGTAAAACAAATTATCTACACTTCTGGTATTGTAATATAGGTTATCAGTTCCATTGTTCCCACTTTTAAGATAAAACAATTTTAATACTTTAAATATAAAAAGATTCTGAATCGGCATTATTTTTGATTGAAAGTATAACGGAAATGAGCTTTCTCTCAACTGTTTATTAAAAATGATTCTTAAAAAATGATTTTGAGTTGTTCTTAAACGATTGATGAAACTTTTGAAAGTACCTCCCCAGCATATTAATCCATATTGCAAACGTGAATGTATTAGTGCGTAATAAAGTGTTTTCAATAAATGTTCTTCACAAAAATGTTTTAAGAAATAAAATTTTCTAATTGATCTTTTGACATTTGCATGCAGAATTTGAATGTGTTTTTCCCACGTAAATTTTTCATCAAAGTGTATCCCAAGGTATTTAAATGATTTAACTTTCTCAATTTCCTCACATTGGCAATCTACACGTTGGCAGCCTTGTATGTGATACAAAATAGGAGATGAAAAAGAAAATTCTCTGTAGCCAAAATTTATAAACTTTGTTTTACTAACATTAACTTTCATTTTGTTTTTTAAGCACCAATCTTGGAGTATGTCTAAATCAAACATTAAATTCATTTTTAAAACTTCCTTATCCTTATTAGAATAAAGAAAACCAATATCATCGGCAAAAGCTTGGATTTGACCTTTAAAATTCTTGTCAAGCAAATCGTTAATAAAAACAAGGAATAAAATTGCTGAGGTAACCGAGCCCTGCGGCACACCTACAGTTACGGGCAGTGGTCTGCTGAGGCAGTCACCTACCCGTACCTGCTGTTCTCTGCCAGTCAGGAAGCTGCGGAACCAATTGAGCGCCACACCTCTGATACCAGCTGCCTCAAGCTTAAATAGTAAGATATTATGGTTAACCAGGTCAAAGGCCTTCATAAAGTCAACAAAGAGACCTGTCGTTTTGTTGCCATTGTTAAAACTTGAATATATTAAATTTGTAAAATTCAACAGAGCATCTTCTGTAGATTTTCCTCGCTGAAACCCAAACTGCCATTGAGAAAAAAAAATTATTTGATTGAAATACTTTACTAGTCTGTTAACCATTAGCTTCTCCAATATCTTAGAAAAAGATGAAAGTAGACTGATTGGTCTTATGTTGTTCAATTTTATTAAGTTTGGCTTCTTGAAAATTGGTATTACGACACTTAACTTTAACTTAGTAGGAAAAATACCTTCACTAAAACTTTTATTAAAAATATAGGTTAAAACAGGTGCAATGTATTGAGCTATTTTTTTTACTAATAATGCATTAAAATTATCGAAACCCGAAGATTTTTTATTTTTAAAACCATTAATGACACCTATAATTTCGTTTTCAGTGGTTGGCACAATGAAAAAAGATTGGCAACGCTGATGTAGACCCAGGTCGGCCAGTGAAGGTGTATCGTTATCAGGTTGCACAATGTTCATCAGATAATGATTAACTCTATCTGCTACACTTTGTGAGTCACTGTCAATAGTTCCATCCTCAAGCTCAACCTTATCAAAACACTGATTACGGGTTTCACCAGTTAGGCTATTTATGACCCTCCACTGTCTAGCGGGGTCACCATCAGCATTTCGAATATGATTTGAATAATACAATTTTTTGACATTATCCATTTCGAGTTTTAAATTATTGTAGAACATTTTATAGTGATTCCTTAAAACTAAATCATATGGCCTTTTTTTGGTTAACACGTACAGTATTTTTCTTCTACGTATTTTTTTTAAGAGACTTGTCGTCATCCAAGGACTTAGTAGTTTGGCCTTAGCAAGACTCTTATCTATTGAAATGGTTTTAGAACACTTATTTACAACGTCAGTTAAAATTAAATTAAACTTCTCATAACATAAATCAATATTTTTTTCATTAAAAACTTCGTCCCAACTAATAGACTTTAAACAACCAATAACCTTATCAAAATCTATAGTCTGCTTCTCGCAAAATACTTTTTTTTTGTCTTGGTCTAAAGAAATGTCATTAAATTTAAGACCCAATAAACAATGATCTGTTATATTCAAATCAAATATTGCTTGCTTAAAGCTATTTACTTGCCTATGTTTAATAAAAATATGGTCGATTAGTGTTTTAGAATTTGTTGTGATTCTAGTAGCATTCTTAACTATTGATAAAAACCCATTGTTCTCTAAAAGGTACTGATAGTTTTTAGAATTTATTTTTCCATCTAACAGGTCGATATTAACGTCTCCCAGCAAAATTGTATTTGTAGTAAAATAATTCATATAAGATTCTAGTTCGTTTACAAAATCCTTCTCAGTAAACTCTTGCAGTCTATATATACAAAATAGTTTAAAATAATGTTTACTAATTTTTATATTTAAGAGGAGCGTGTCAGCAGTCCTCATACTGTTTACATTTGCTTCTGTGACACATATATCCTTTAAAGCGTAACATATGACACCACCTGATCTGTAGGAGTCATTACAACGTGCAAAAATGTTGTAATTTGGAATATTGAATAAATTTAACTCATCGGTGTTAATCCAAACTTCACTTAATACAATAAAGGTAATATCTTGTTCTAATTGAGAAAATTCTATTAAAAAATTATTAAAGTTTTGTCGTAGCAATTAATGATCTCAATATAGGACAGTATGTATCCATTGCTTTTGACGATGGTTTATTTGAGCTTTTTGATGTCAGCCTCACTGTAAATCCTGCGACACTTATCCTTATCAGCCTTCCTGATAAAGAATTTTCCCTCACGGCACCACGCGTATTTGATGCCTACTTCAGCACATTTCTTTTTCAAGTCAGACAAAAACACCTTATTAGCTGGAGACAAGTGCTCATTAATGTACAGTTTCGCTTTTGGGAAAGACGAGTTTACCTGGTCCACAGTCACAGATTCCTTGAGCTCCCTGAATTGTTTCAACCACGTGTCTCTAGTGGATCTGCCGATGAACTGGACCACGAGGGAAGGGACCCGGTCTTTGCGGAAGCTGGGTACTCGGTGTGCTGCGTTGATCTGGGACTCCTCCACCTCCAGGCCGATGACTGCACCTACGTCCTTCACCAACTGGATGACATCCTCCCTGGGGGTGACTGGGATACCGCTAATCTCGATGTTGCTGCGTCGGGTATATTGTTCCAGTGATCGAGTCCGGTCTTGTAGGTCGGTGACTGTTTCTCGCAAAACCTCATTTTCTTTTTTCAGAACTTGCACTTCCGATCTTAAATTTTCCATTAATTTGGTAGATTCGTCCACTTTTTCTGAAAGAAAATTCAGGGATTGCGACATTTCGGAAACTTCTTTTTTTACGTTTTTTAACTCAGTAAAAAGTTCTTTTTTTAAACTGTCCAAAACTTTAAGCAAAAATTCCTTTGTTATCGGCGTACTTGAGCCGGAACTTACACTGCCTTCTCGGCACTCCCTACACCTCCATTGCTTTGCTGTACGAACCTTCTTCTCTTCTATATCTTCTTTCACACAGTTTACATGAAACGATTTTTTGCAATTACCGGCACAACTTATCACTTCAGTAGACTTGCAGCTGCCAATGTCCACGTTGCAAACGCCACAGGTAGCTGGCATTTTAATTTATGTACGTAAAAAGCACTTTTTTAACTACACAAGGCCGTTTAGACAAACACGCCACACACGTGAAGTAGTAGCGCGACGTGAGCTTGCGATACGGTAGCGGAGCAGTACGTCTTATCGGATCGGCTGACCCGACTGAACTGAACATTAAAAAAAAAATTCAAAACATTAAAAAATTCTTAAGTACGAGTTAAAAATTTAAGTTTACATAAAAATAATGAATGCATATATATGTTCCTTTTACTGTCCTTTGCTGACATGCATGTTCATAAACTAGCCACCGTATTGTACAGGTGTCATAGTGTACATTTTATATGGAGTGACGTATACAATCGTATGTAACAGCTCAGTGTTGAAACGTAACAGAAACAACAAACTTATAATGCTTCCATTGCATAAATAAACATACAGCCCATAAAAATAATATCAGTATCATGATGTATAAAGGGATTACTACGATACTGTATTTTTCCCAAACATAATTCGCCATAGCTTCATAGATTTTCTAAAACATCTAGTGTGGTGGTTTGGTTTTAATATTAGTTATTTATTAACATTTTAAGACGCTTTGAGATTAACCGAATTTACTGAGAACGATTTATGTAAAAATTATTCAGCAGATTTTACATAATTTTACTTTGTTATTTTTCTTTCATTTATATTATTGTTTTAGTCAACAATATTTTTTTCCAAAATTTCGTTGAAACCTGTTATATAATTGTTTGCTACACAATAGGTAGATGACCCGGCAAATAGCCACAGCATCATTACTCTGGAGGCCAAGGAAATATATACATTATATTATGAATGAAAACGACCTAGAAAACAGGAATATTTTTCATCTATCTAGGGAATTTTTTTCTTGTTTAAATATTTGGCGTGTTATAATGGTGAATATTGTCTGCTGTCTTCTTTAGCCAATACAGTTATTTAAATTATTTATTTACTAAACTACTTTGCTCAAAATAAGAAATATAACTGTTTTAAGTAATACCTTTCAATACGTTAGAAATAATGGTGGGTTTCCCAAAAAATGAGAAAGGTTGACCATTTACGACATGTATTGAATTTTGGCGAAAGAATACACATCGAGATGTTAAATTGTATTAATACCACAAAAAGTCAACCCTACTTCAATAATGTAATTGCATACGTTTAGATTTAACTGTGAAATCATATGTAGTTCCATAGCAAGACTAAGTTTATATGGTGTTTCATCGTCTTGACTATGTTGGTAAAACAGATTACAGTTAGCTAAAAACCCACCTGTTGTTTCTACAGCTTGTAGGCTAGTATTATTCTAAATTAAAGGTACGTTAGATACGTGTTTTAAAGGTATCACTATGGGTATTGTTTTTAAAATCCAGTTTCATAGACTTTTACGAAAAGATCATCCTCACTTTGCGTATACATAGGTGCGTGCAGCCACGAATTACAAATACAATTTACAAATGATTTCTACTGTTTGCTAAAAGACGCTTTATAACTAAGGCAGTTCCACAGATTTTTGTTGTAACAAAAACGATCCACTTTATATCAAACTTTTTAGGCAGCAATTTCGCAGCAGTACAAAAAAATAAACACTTAAAATTAATAATTGAATCCGACTCGTAGCGATAGAAGAATAATATTTGTATGAATAAAAGACACTGAATATTTCAGCTTTTATGAAGATATGAAAAGACAAACACTCTTTTGTTTTCCAAGCATCTTGAAATACTTTCCGCTTTGTCTTGTTATTGGTATATTAAATTATTTTAAACTCAGTACAAAAAACGAATCTGCACCTGAAGATGAACATTATTGGTTTTTATATAGTTTTAGATATGAAAAGCGTGAGAAGTAATGCTTTGTCTATTAGCATGGCTTTGTAATTAATTTCTTGATTTGCTGTATTATAAATCACTCATAAAATAAAAACTGCAATAAATAAACTAAATTAAGCCGCATCATTTTTGTGCATTTTAAACAAGTCAATAAATCATTAAAGGTTTCACAGTTCAACACAGACGCCGGTCTCACCTACGTAGTAATAATACTTTATCAAACATTAATACAATTTTACTATAGTCATAGTTATAAGCTACGGTTTTTATAAAAACCCGTGATAAAACCTTTTTTTTGTAATTATGTATAATTTAGTGATGATTGACCTACAAACAAAGAATGATAGGGATCATAAGATTTATTCAGTTAGCAACAGGCTAACTTGCTTTTTTGCTTGACAAACAATTTGTGGATTGATGATAAATAAAACATTATGCATTTTTCCAATTTTCCTGTAGCTCTATTAAACAAAGTTACATTACCATTCTGAAATCGTATGAATGCTATTTAATGGATTGTATATTGTAGAGACCATGAAAAAAAATATTGAATTTTAGTTAATGATTCTAAAAATACTTTATAGTCTAATTGAACACGATCATGCGAATCACAAACGTTATTCTTTTCCCAAAAGGGGGGAAGGTGGAAAACTGTCCATAAAGAGACGAAATAAAGGCGTTTATAGAGCATCACAACTCCGGGCTATGTTTTATTCAGTAGTCTTCATGAAGAGCGATCAGTTGTCTTCTCTTTTGTTTCACCACAGTTGACGTTTTTAAAGGCAAATCCAGTTGAATTTTTGGTAAATAAATGTTTGACTATTGGTTATATTTCATCAAACAATCATGCTCAACAAATAAACACCATGCCCCATTTAAAATTTACTTTTCCTTAAACTATATGTTTTAATGCAGGTCTGAAAAAATCTCCAATGCGAAAAATTATTAGCTGTAGTCGGGGGTATCAGATGAACATTTTTAAATTTTAGAAATTCCTCCACTGATTTGCAAAATAAAAAGGTCCCATGTGATGAAAGTATTTTCCACCCATAGTTTGTGTTTGGGAATGTGTATCGATTTAGATTTTAGCACCGTTGGTACCTAGCATTGGTATTTATACAGAATGTAATACAGATATTTCAGTAGCTAAAAGCTAAATCAGTTATCCTCTTAGTAGGGTAATGTCTCATGCATCTAGACAACGTTAACAGCTGTTCACCTGTTCAACTTTAAAGCCCTTTTGTGACACGATTAAGTAAAGAATGCACAACAAATTGTTCAGAGCAGCTAGGCCATCAAATCAAATAAAAGGTTTAGTATAGCGAGAAAATAGTTCACCATTCGTGCCTAAAGTGTATTTTAGATTTTTGCTCATTGTTTATCCTCAACTTTGCCTCAGTCGTTAAAAAAGAACGTTCGTGACGATGAGAGCCACTTGAATCACTAATGATTTGATATACCATATCATCACCATACGTTTGGTTTGTAAATTAAAAACACATTCATAACAATTATAACGTAAATAATAAAATTAATGCAAGCAAAGCCAACTGAAATAACTTGTCTGGATTTGAAGACTGGAAAGCTGTGTGAAAGCAAATGTAGTAAGTTGCGTTGAGCATGTAGGCTAAAAATTACAGTCTGATGACTGAGATTGCTGAAAATGAACAAGTGAATGAAAATAAACAAGTCCCGAAAGGCTAATCCCATGTTCAATCTTTGTTAAGGAACAAACAATGACTACTTTCTTCTGGAATTTCATACGATTAAAACTAAATTGTACGTATTTGTAAGTTATTGGGTATGAGAGTAGAAACTCAATGAAAAATAGAGGGAAATCAGCAAAAACTCTACTACAGTATACTAAATGTAAATCTAAACTTTGAAGGATGTGACATCTGTTTTACCTTGAAGTCGTATCCATCCATAAAAAAATAATAAATGGAATTATAATGAGGAATAGAAAATATATCAATATCGTTGTTTAGTGCAAATGTTTTTGCTAAGAAAAAGGTCAAGAAACACTCATATCATCTCTCGTAAGAATCTACTATTAAGTAACAAACATGCATTTAGAGGACGCTTATCTAAGGAAATTACAAATAATACAATTTCTGCCTTATTTGGTAAAGGGTTTTCAGACTCTTGTCACCAACCCAAATGTACTTTGTTGAACATCGTTGCTTTATTGAATTTTTAATCACTCAATGAATATATTTTAAATTATTGACTAATATGTGTTACTCCCTCAGTTATAATATTGACTCCACATTTTACACACACGTTTGCAAAATGAAAATGAGGGAAAGAGTTTTGAATCCAACTAAATTGTAATGTTTAATCCTGGGTAAGTGTGCTTTACTTGTCATATCTGAAAATAATAATGCACCTAATATACTTGAATGCCTCTAAACTCTGTTATAGAAATTTTTATATGCAAATCTAGGGCAACAACCAGTCAAAGTGGATACAACAAGGATATGAATAATGCTTGTTTTGTTTGTAGTCACTGACACTTAATACTGTTTCCTAGTCAATTAATTTTATTTTACTGTTTGTAGCTACTACGAAGATAGAAGAGACATGGTACCCCATCAATACCCATCACTTGACGAGGCTGTTATACGTAATGGAGTTCCTCAGTCAGTTTGCTTATCCTCCACTCTGAGATCTGGTTACAGATTGTTTATCTAAGTGACAATCTTGCCTTTGTTGCTAATTTTTAAAGATAAATATACAATACAGTTTTTGCACTTATGTTACACTTCATTTTCGTCTTACATATAAATTTCAAGTTAAATATTTCTTATCGTAAAGTTAGGAGTAGTAAATAATATTATCCTTTAGCTGCTTAATTGAGATTGAAAGATGTTT